CATCCTCAGCCTTGTCCCACTCTGTTGGAGTTGTGACATATTGAGGGGGGGTAGACACCCCGCGGGCTCAGAGATGGGGTGGTTGCAATAATGGGAGGGGAGGGGAGGAGGGGCTATTTGGGTGCAGCAGAGACAGGTCTGACGACAAATTACAGTGTGTAAGGAGAAGTAAAAGTAAGATTCCGAGCCATGGCGATTAGGGGGAGGAGGCGTCATTGCCTGAAATTGCCACCATGGGGAAGCCCTTCCCTGTGTATCCACAGAAGCAGTCCTCGGTCTTTTTGGATCGCTGCTGCCTTGGAAATCTCCCTGTCAGGATGTGTACTTGCACACCCATGTGGGCCCTTCATGCTACCAGCACCTAATCGCAGTCCCCCATGAGCCCCAGGGTGCAAGCGGTCAGTATCACCTGGACTTTTGAAAACAGCTTAGCCTTGCCTACCTGCTCTTTAGAACCTCTGCTAAATTTGCCGCTATTCCCAGCGCACACGTGAAAGCAGCCCGGAGCGGGAAGGCATTTGTCCGAGGTTGATGGTATTTTTTTCCCACACGCGTGGAGGTAATTCTATTGAGCCCTGGTTGAGCCCCCATCAGTCGCTGGGCAGTGTTCGTATGGTGCCTTTCAGAACCTCGGGAACAAGGGATTGGACCTTGTATTAGTTACCTATTGCCGTCGCAACAAATTACAACAGATCTAGTGGCTTTTTTGTTAATTTTTTTTAATGTTTATTTATTTTTGAGACAGAGAGAGACAGAGCATGAACGGGGGAGGGGCAGAGAGAGAGGGAGACACAGAATCGGAAGCAGGCTCCAGGCTCCGAGCTGTCAGCACAGAGCCCGATGCGGGGCTCGAACTCACGGACCGTGAGATCGTGACCTGAGCCGAAGTCGGACGCCCAACCGACTGAGCCACCCAGGCGCCCCCAGATCTAGTGGCTTTAAACAACACAGCTTTGTAACAGTCCTACTGTTCGGAGGTCAGAAGTCTGACATGGGTTCTGGGTCTCCTCCGTGCAGACCAATGTCATGACAGCGGGTTAGGATGCGCGAGTGACTGGAGGTCAATGACAATATCAAACCACCAGATTTCAGAGTTAGAGGGAGGGTGTAAAGTGAGTGAACTATTAAGTCCTTTGCTCTTTTTTAACTCATTTCTGCTTCACTTTTAACAATTCTGTTGCTTCAATGAACTTTCATGGAGTGAAATTTAACTTTCAAAAAATATATGTTAGGCTTAAAATAGCTGCCTCTCTAGTCTTCCCTCCACATCGAGGAAAGAAATTGCTAGAAGGTTAAGGATGACTCCAGAAAAGAGGCTGATCCAGCCGGCAGGACACGACCACCCCTGTTCATGGAGACACCGAACACCAGTTCAACCTATGAACTAGAAATTACAGACTTCTGAAGTGAAAGGCCCATGGCACCGTCCATGTCTCTCCAAGTGTCAAAGACAAATGGGGTACTGGTAAAAAGTGTAGATTCTCGGGCCCCCCTCCAGCCCCTTTGAGTGGGGGTTGGGACCCAGGACTGTGGGTTTGTCACAAGAACCCCAGGCGCTTCTTAGGTATAGTGAAACTGGGGCACTACTGGTTGTAGACCTAATTTCCCTTTTTCCTAACATATAACATTTTTAGGAGATCGTTCATATACGACGCAGTTCACTCGCTCACAGTGTACAATTCAGTGGCTTTTAGTGTATTCAGAAAGTTGTTTAACCATGGCCACAGTCCATGTTAGAACATTTCCATCACCCCAGAGACCATCCCCACCAGCAAACAACGCCTCCTCATTCTCTCACTGTCCTCCTTCCCACCCCTAGCCCACCACACATCTGTGTCCGTGGATGGATTTTTCTACTCTATAGATTTTCCAGTCGCTAGGTCATTTTATTTTATTTTATTTTTTAATTTAAATTCATTTAAAATTTTTTATTTAGGCTCCCCACATGGAGCCCAATGCAGGGCTTGAACTCATGACCTTGAGATCAAGACCTGAGCTGGGGGGCACCTGGGTGGCTCAGTCGGTTGAGCGACCGACTTTGACTCAGGTCATGATCTCACAGTTTGTGACATTGAGCCCCGCACTGGGCTCTCTGCTGGCAGTGTGGAACCTGCTTCAGATTCTCTGTTTCCCTCTCTCGCTGCCCCTACCCTGCTCACAGCCTGTCTCTCTAAAAAATAAATAAACATTGGGGTGCCTGGGTGGCTCAGTCGGTTGAGCGTCCGACTTCGGCTCAGGTCATGATCTCGCGGTCCGTGGGTTCGTGCCCCGCGTCCGGCTCTGTGCTGAGAGCTCAGAGCCTGGAGCCTGTTTCAGATTCTGTGTCTCCCTCTTTCTCTGACCCTCCCCTGTTCATGCTCTCTGTCTCAGAAATAAATAAATGTTTAAAAAAAATTAAATAAATAAACAAAAACAAAAACCAAAAAACAGAAGACCTGCGCTGAGATCAAGAGTCAGATGCTTGGGGCTCCTGGATGGCTCAGTCTGTTAAGCATCCCACTCTTTTTGTTTTGTTTTGTTTTGTTTTTACATTTTTAAAAATTCATTTTTGATAGAGACAGAGCACAAGTGGGGTAGGGGCAGGTAGCTGTCAGCACAGAGCCTGACACGGGGCTCAAACCCATGGACCGTGAGATCATGACCTGAGCTGAAGTCAGAGGCTTAACCGACTGAGCCACCCAGGCACTCCTGTAACACGTTTTTTGTTTTTTTTTTAATGTTTATTTATTTTTGAGACAGAGAGAGAGAGAGCATGAATGGAGGAGGGGCAGAGAGAGAGGGAGACACAGAATTGGAAGCAGGCTCCAGGCTCTGAGCCATCAGCCCAGAGCCTGATGCGGGGCTCGAACTCACGAATCATGAGATCGTGACCTGAGCTGAAGTCGGACGCTCAACCGACTGAGCCACCCAGGCGCCCCTCTAACACGTTTTTTAAATTGACAAATAACATCCATTGTACGCAGATGACATGTTTTATTTCTCCATTCATCTGTTGATGGGTGTTTGAGTTGTTTCCACTTCTTGATGACTATGAATAACACTGCTGTGAACGTTCAGTACGAGTTTTTATGCGGACGTTTGTCTCCACTTCCCTCGGGCACGTACTTCGCGTGGAGTTGCCGGGTCACGTGGGAACTCTGTGCTTAACCTTTGGAGGAGGTGCCAGAATGCCCACCTGGCTCTGCTGGTGGCGTCCCCGCCAGCGGTGGAGGGGGCTCCCAGTTTCTCCCCCTGCTCACCCACACGTGTCATGGTCTGCTTTGTGTGTGTGCCCTTCTATTTTTTCCATCCTAGTGGTGAAAAGGAGTATCCCGTGGTGGATTCGTTCCGTGTTTTCCTCCTGACCAGTGACGCCGAGCATCTCATAGGCTTACTCGCCATTTGCCTCTCTTCTTTGGAGAAAGGCTTATTCAGAGCCTTTGCCCATCTTTAAATTGGGTTATTTGCCTTTTTGCTACTGAGTTGTAAGAGTTCTTTGTAAATTCTGGATACAGTTCCTTCAGCAGAGATGTGATTTGCAACAATTCTTTCCCCCTCTCTGGGTGGTCGTCCAACTTCCTTGATGGCGTCCTGTAAGGCACGAAAGTTTTACATTTTGATGAAGTCCATTTTATCTGTTTGTTCTATTTTTTTTTAAGTTTATTTGTTTATTTTGAGAGAGAGAGAGCAAGGGAGGGACAGAGAGAGGGAGAGAGAGAATCCCATGC